CGAAACCGCGGCAAAGGATTCAAAGCGGAGTATCACACAATAGGTAAGTAAATATAGAACACTGCAATAAGTGGTCCACAATGGTGTTATTGTTAAACAGGTTGCAACAGAAACTACACCTCCTTACAAGGACGCGTTGTCAACACAATCGCGAACGAGTGTTTTCAAACAATTACCGTACCTAAGAACTACACGATTTCGGTTTATTTCCAGCAGTTCATGACGTACCGCTGGCACGACTGCCAAAAGGCTGGTTTAGAAATACGCGATGGAGGACACAAATCCGCTACTCTGCTGCAAAAAATTTGTGGTGGCGCATTACCAAATCCAGTTTTCTCGACGACCAGTCAGTTGTGGGTGTACTCTTGGAATAAAATGAGCACTGGTTGGTTACCAAGCTACGATTTTATTTATACTTCGTCGGATCAAGGAAGAGGATGCGGTGGTACTTTATACAACTACAAGGGATCATTTACCAGTCCTTTCTATCCATTAGACTATAAAAACAGCACTCCATGTGAGTGGGATATTCGAGTTCCCATAGGCATGAAAGTCGGTATTAAATTCTCTGGTAACTACACAGCCTCCATAATACGCAAAAAAATTAACTGGTGGTAGAACTCATCAATCCATGAACCTTGGCTATAGGTATAACATTATAACATTAATATTTGAAAAATAGAAAATCGAGTAAAATGAAAAATTGTAAATAAAGAAACTGAAAATTCCAAAAATTAAAAATTGTAAAATTAAAAACCTAAAAACAAAAAATTGGCAAAAGTAGAAAAGTAGAAAAATCGAAAAATTGAAAAATTTTAAAAAAGCATCCAGAATCCAAAACTTGAAAAATAGAAAACTTGAAAAGTTGAATAATTTTAAAAAGAGAAAACAAAATACTTATTTAGAAATTGAAAAATCCAAATATTGTAAAATTGAAAAATTAGAAAAATTGAAAAATTGTAAAATTCAAAGCTGAAAAATAGAAAATCGACAAATTTGAGATCGAACGCGAAGTTGAAAAACAGAAAAATTGAAAGTCGAGAAGCTCAAAATAGAAAAATTGAAAAATCGAAAATTAAAAATCGAAGAACTGAAAAATTTAAAATTCGAAAATTCGAAAAATTCGAAAATAGAAAAATTGAAAAAACGAATAACCGAAAAATCGAGAAATCGAAATTTTAAAATGTTGAAACATTGAAGGATCGAAAAATTGAAAAATCGAGAAATTCAGAAGCCGAAAAATCGATTAATCGAGAAATACAAAAATCGAAAATTTGGAAAGGCTAAAAATCAAAAAAATGAAAAATGGGGAAACTCAGGAATCCAAAATTGAAAAATCGAGAAAAGGAAAACGCAAAAATTTATAAAACTGACAAATTGCAATATCAAAAACTGAGGAATCGAAAATTTAAAAATCGAGAAATTGAAATGTTGAAAAATCGAAAACTAAAATTAGATACTGAAAACCTGAAAGATTTAAAGTAAAAAGAATTCGAAATACCGAAAAATTGGAAAATCGAATAATCGAAACGTCAAAATCTCGATAAATCGAAAAATCGAAATATTGAAAAATTTCAAAATCAAAAATCGAAGAAATAAAAATTGAAAATTTCAAAACTAAAACTAAACACTGGAAAAACTGCAAATCGTAACACTGAAACATCCAAAAATTGAAAACCGAGAAAATGAAAAATTCAAAAATTGTAAAATATAATCACTGAGGAAAAGAAAATTTGAAAAATCGAAAAAATTAAAAATTTTAAATTGAATACTCGAAAAATACAAATCTAGAATCTGAAAAATCGAAAAATTAAAATCCATAAATAGCAAATGGAAAAATTTAGACACTGAAAAATTTTAAATCGAAAAATTGAAGAATGAATGAAAAATTTTATGATTAACAGTTAGAAAGTCGAAAAACTGAAAAATCTAATAATTTTAAAAATGGATAATTACAATATCTATAGATTGGAACATTGGAAGATTGTAAACATGAAAAATTAAAATATCTAGAAGATGAAAAATTGTAAAAACGAAAAATTGCAAATCGAAAGATTGAATAAAACCTTGAAAAATCAAAAAATTTATTTTCAGTTTTAACTCCTGAACGGTGGACTTTTGAATAAAATGTTATACAGAAAAGTTTATGCTAATAATGAGTTCTAGTGCTGGTTAAATTTTTTGCATTCAGTTCGATAACACCCTGTATTTTGTGTGTACATTTTAGTTTTCGACATTCGAGGCGAGTGCGACAACAATTATGTAAAGGTTACCACATATGAGAAAGAAGACGGAAATGAACACCGATTTTGTGAAAATGTACATACATTCTTTTTTTCTGGCTTAATTTATTAATCTTTCTTTAATTTTAGGAAAACCCAGCTGTTCTTTACTCAAATTCACACCTCTTAGTAAAATATCAATCTTCTTTTAATAATAATGGAACTGGATGGCAAGCTTCGTTTGAAGCCGTGAGTCAGTGAAATATCGTCATTTATGTAAGGCAATATTAATAAAAACAAATGTATCTTCCATTAAAAAAATAAGTTGGTACATTATTTTTGACCCGTTGGGTACATATCGTGAAAAAAGAGGTAAAACAAAAAGTGAATTAAAATCTACAAATCTGAAGATAAAAACCAAAAAAAATCATTTTTCACAGAATGTTAATTAAATCTGTTTTTCTTTTAATAACACGTTAGTACATGAGTAAACACATAAAAGCACCATAAAAAGTCATTGAACCCAAATGCTTATATCGGGCAACTGGTTGCTTTAATATTTTCTCTATGGGTGATGACCCGTAAATGGTGTAAAATATCAAAGGTTGTTCTGAAATTGCATTTCTGCTTGCGTCTTGAATTTTTTAGCCATGGATCATCTCTTGAATAACTCCGTTTTTTATAAGATATGCAATAAGCAGTAACAGATCCTTACTATTTTGAAAAAAAAAAGTTTATTTTGAGCAACAGTAATTTATCATTCAGCTCATCATCCTCTAAGTTACCATTAAATTCAAAAATATAACAATAACTTGTTGCAAATATACAAGGTTTTTGACTAAGGATATACTTACTTAAGAGGGTAAATACTGACAGATAACCAACCTGTTTTTATCAGTATTAAGTACATGGAATTAATTTAAAAACGGTTCACTTTTGACACAGTCACAAAATGCCTGGAAACATTTTAACTCAGCCTAAACTCAGTTCCATCCCCATTTCCACTCTGGGCGAATTTTGCTTTAATACAGCAAAACAATTTGAAAGTCGGGTATGTCATATACGTAAGTATTCTCAACGGTACTACTGTTCAGATTCAGATTTTTATATTGACGCCATCATCAATCAACACGAAACCTACTCTGGATTCAACCAAAAAAAGTGTCAGAGTATCTCTTGCCATTATGAAACTTGAAGTGGTACCTCAAAATGTGGTTACATCTGTTGTACTATAACCCTCTTGACATCTTTTCAGCGAAACAAACATCTTACTTGTTGTCTCTGGTTTCTCCAAAAATCATTTTCGTGGAAAAGGTTACCGTTAATTTAATTGAAAAAAGTTTACCAGAGGCAAAGGTTGAAACAGTGGTCGTAGTTTTTGGGCAGTTTAAGAAATATAAAATATTTTCGTAGTGGGATCAACCACAAACTAACGAAAATGGGTTTCGTCCTGATTTTGGAGAAACCTGCATCCTGATGGAGTATAGGTTCCAAAAGCTGTCTGTCATAGTCATCACAGCTTTTTAACACCGTCATGTAACGTTTACTCATTTTTAGCATTAATTAAAAACTAATTTAATAAATCAGAAATTAAAATCGAAACTATTCTCTCTCTTTTTTTTTATTAGATTTCGGCAATGATTTTTCTGGTTACTTCTTTCATACAAAGTGGCCTGAGAATCATATACGGTAGTACTGTAAAACCTAAACAACTTTTCCAAAACACTGAAAAATAGAAGGTACTGTAATGTTTTGTTTCCTTTGGTGAAAATTTTTATATTTTTTTTTGGTCCTGTTTTAAGTTACGGGGTTACAAATTTCGCAGATTAAAAAAAATATGACACTTCTTCGTTTTACACGGTTTTGTGCGGTGGTACCGCTGTGAGTGCCACACAACTGCATAAAGTACGATGTTATTTTCGCTTACGGTTTAACCGAAACTGATGATATACTCACTTTTTTTGATCCCACAGCAGACAAAAAGATCATAATTCAGAAAGGATTTCCAGGACTTACAAACCCATAAATAATTTTGTTGTAAAATGTATTATCCATATGTATCCAACTAGGTATTATTATGTGAATAATGTTCATTAAAAGTTTTCGATTAAATGAGTACAATATGCAATGATACGATAAAACAAATTAAAAAGAAGTCTATTGATTAGAATTTATGACGACTCTTGAAGATTTATTAATAACTATAATTTAATATCACTTTATTAGCTCCTATTATGATTTTTCAGACTATACATTTTGAATAATCATTATAAGCAAGACTTGCTTACGCTGTAACAAATAAAAATAGTAATTAATTATATGCGAAGGGAGAGAAGACACGATTCTGGCCCGAGCTGAATTGTTCCCCGCGCCCCGAATGATTGAAGGAAATTAGAAAACAAGAATCCGAGAAGTCTTCTATCCCATGGTTTTTATGTTTACTTTTTTCACTACTAGCAACATTTTTTTAAGTTTTATTGAAACTCCAGCTCCCGAGTTCTACATTTTGAAGCTATCATGAATCATTAATAACAATAGTATATAAATATACTTAATTATCTTAATATCAAGTCAATACAACACGTCAACTACGACATCTAGGTTAACCATACCATTGTCAATTGCTTTTATTATCTACTAGTGGCAGTAATGAAAAAAATACATTATCAAAATTTCATGTAGCAAAAAAACCTGTAAAAATCTTTTAAAGAGTTATAATTTAAATTTCTTTCTTGTATCTATTTGGGAGTCATTATCAACCAGGAAGAATAAACAAGGATCAAATGTCATGCTCATTAAGTCATTACGTACACTTATCAGTCGGTACTACTCATCATTTTTCCAACCTGATAGTATTAATTGGAAAAAAGAGCAACATCCTACAAAAACAAACCGATACTTTATTTTATAAAAGAATTATTTCGGACAGCAGTTCATGACGTGATGCGGCAAATGTTTGAAGACAACGTTGTTGAAATAATTATAAGCAATTTGTTCTTGCTGTCTGTTATTTACTTATTGACTTATCGGAAGTTAAACGTTATATGTATATGTTAAGTGATAAACTAATCTTCACAAGAGAAACAAAAAAAATTAGAAACTGAACTACTTGTTATCAGTTGAGAGTGAGCACGATGAGTGAAAACATTTTGCGGGGTCCTTCTGTGGATTATGTTCCGAGTACCACCTTGGGTCAGTACTTTTTCGAATCTGCTAAGAAGTACGAGAAACGTACTTGTCAGGTACTAAATATTTTTAGTGAACTTTTTTCTAAGTAATTTATAGATCGATCCGTTTAGCGACCACCATGAATCTTACGCTTCTGTGAGAAAAAGGAGTACCAGAGTTGCCATAGAAATGCAAAAGAGAGGAATAACGTTTGAAGATGTGGTCGTTACGTGCTCTTCAAGTACCATAGATACCGCTATACCAATTATAGCTACTTTTTATCTAGGAGCTAAAATTGCTAATCTAGATATTACTTTATCCGTTAGACAAGTTACCCATCTGCTGTCTCTTGTATCCCCAAAGATGATTTTTGTTGAAGAATCTGCTATCGGTTTAATCGAAAAGGGTTTAGAGAATGCAAGTTTAGAAACAGAAATTGTAGTTTTTGGAGAATCGTCAAAGTATAGTACTTTCTCTGATTTCGTGAAATTTCAAGAAACTGAAGACCAGTTTGAACCCGTTGTTGTTGATTTAGAAGAAATCGCAGTTATACTCTTCAGTAGTGGTACCACCGGTTTACCCAAAGCTGTATGTCATAGCAACCGTAGCGTTCTAAACTTTACGTTCTTCTTTTGGTAAGTGGTGATAAAAAACTCTTCTCGCTTTAATATTTTTTTTAAAGCAATTCTTCTGACCACCTGGACGTAATCCTTTCGTTCAGTTCTTTTTACTGGATAACGGGAGTGCTTTTCCTTACTTCCACATTTATAGGAGGTGGGCACAGAGTTGTCTGCGGAAACAAAGTAGAAGCTGAAAGAACCTTCAAAGTTATCGAAAAATATAAAGTCACCTATATGTTCATAGCACCGATTTTGTCTTATCAGCTTACAAACTTTGAGAATTATCAGTCCTATAATACCTCCTCGCTTCGTGTTATAATGGCGGCTGGTACTCCTTTGAGTACCACTCAATTTAATAAATTGAATACTATTTTCCCAGCAGTAGATATTATTGTTTGCTATGGCCAATCAGAAGTTGGTATGGTCTCACTCTTTGACACTAAATTCGACAAGAAATTTATTCGTACGAAGAATAAATCTGCAGGGAAAGTTGTTACCGGAATTACGCTCAAGGTACTTTTCCTTCCTCTTAAATCAAGACTAATAAATTTGCACTTCTAGATAGTTGATCCTGAGACAAACCAAATCATGGGTCCATATCAAAATGGCGAAATACGACTTCAATCTTCCGGTGTTATGAAAGGTTACTACAAGACCGATAGTACCGAAGTCTTCGACGACGAAGGTTTTCTGAAAACAGGAGACGTGGCATATTTCGATGAAGACGGTTGCATATTCTACGTTGAAAGATTGAAAGAGATGTTTAAGTATTTGTCTTGGCATATAGTACCGACAGCTATAGAGTCAGTACTTTTAGAACATCCTGGTGTAAAGGAAGCTGTTGTTTTTGGTTTTCCAAGAAACGAAGAAGAGGGAGAAGTTCCTGCGGCCTGTATTGTTGTCAATGAAGGTTCCAATGTTAGCGAAAACGAAATTGAAGACTTTGTTTCGAGTAGGGTTTCCGATAGGGAAAAATTGAGAGGAGGAGTGTATTTTGTGGAGGGGATCCTCAAAACACCGACTGGCAAAGTGAAGCGAAAAGAAGTGCGAAAAGCCATGCTAGAGTGGCTCACCAAGTAGTTTCAAATGTGTTGAAGGGCCAGCTAAACTAGAATTCATAAAGCATTATGTTTTTGGTATTAAAGTGCTTTTCCATTTTCTGTTTCTAGAAATATAAAATCGCTTAAAACAGCCAACAGCTTCTTTAGTAACTAAAGTGTACTGTACTAAAAATGTTGAGAAATAAAAAAAAAATGCATAATATATATGTAAACTGTTTTTTACTTTTACTCAACCAACAAAACTTTCAATGTTTTTAATATCCAAACCCCAGTTTTAAGTAAAAAAATTGGTCTAAAGAGTTTAGACAGTACTTCCCTCGCTGTCGGAAACTTGACGACTGCATGCTTATTGTGTTTTTTTTCTCATTGCATTTTTGTAGTGGGAATTTAAAAAAAATTGCGATGACGTCATCAACATTTTTGCAAGGACACGTATATCAGTTGGGATAGATGTAGTGTAATACTAAGAATAAAATTATTATATTCTCAAATTTTCGGGAAAATGAATTGGGTCGTTTTGAATATTGATTTGTAATAATCAATAAAATAACGAAACAATTTACTCACGTATGCATATCAGAGGCAACTGAAAATCGTGTATGTATAAACATTCTTAATTTAAGATGACAGGCGTAACAGCATACGTGAGAGTCAAACAAAGAAACTGTAAACAAAACGACAATCGGTTTTATTGAGTCGACTTCCGCTTATTATATAAAACATTGGATTTTATTTTAATTTTTGACGGTGGAATTCACAATTGGTTGATTTAAAACATGTCTATACCACATTCGCGGAACCTAGTCAGCTATGTTTCAACCGAGTTTTAACTTTAAAAAATTTTGTGTCTACCAAATTGGGTTGGTCCAATGTAATACTAATAATAAGTGTTGCCTTTAATTTGATCAATAAAATAAATTGACTTCATTAATTTTTTTGAGCCACCCTTTAAGAAAATCTAAAAAATATGAATGGAATGATAAATCACAAGTACAAACTCATCATATTTTCTGCATTTTAGATAGGATTTATTTAGCAAAATTTAAGGGTGACGTCACCAATTTTTTTAGAAGGGATGAACAAATACATTTTGAACAAAAGTTTACCATGCTTATAATAACTTTAAAATATCTCCAAGATTTCAAAGCATTCGGTTTTGTAATTCCTGATTAAATCGATCAAATAAATTCACGCATTCAATAATTTTTTTCAGTCACCCTATATATGCAAATCGAAAAAATATGAACGGAGTGATAAATCACAAGTACAGACTCATCATATTTTTCACATTTTAGATAGGATTTATTCACTAAATTTTAGGGTGACGTCATCGATTTTTTTAGGGGGGAAGAGCAAATACATTTTGATAAAAAAATTACCATGCTTATGGTAACTTTAAAACATCTCCAAGATTTCAAAGCATTCGATTATGTAATTCCTGATTAAATCAATAAAATAAATTGACGCATTCATTAATTTTTTTCAGTCTCCCTGTATATGCAAATCGAAAAAATTTGAATGGAATGATAAATCACAAGAAGAGACTCACCATATTTTGTACATTTTAGATAGGATTTATTCGGCAAAATTTTGTGGTGACGTCATAAATTTTTTAGGAGGGACGACCAAATACATTTTGATAAAAAATTTACCATGCTTATGATAACTTTAAAACATCTTCAAGATTTCGAAGCATTCGGTTTTGTAGTTAATGAGTAAATCAGTAAAATAAATTTTGCGCATTCATTAATTTTTTTGAGTCACCCTGTATATGCAAATCCAAAAAATATGAATGGAGTGATATATCACAAGCACAGACGCATCATATTTTGTACATTTTAGATAGGATTTATTCGGCAAACTTTTGGGCTGACGTCATCAAGTTTTTGGAGGGGATAACCAAATATATTTTGACTAAAGATTTATGATGCTCTTTAGAGTCTTAAAACATCTGCAACATTTCAAAACATTCGGGTTAGCAGATTCAAAATTAAATTGCAAAATGTTGTTTTATAATTTTGATTTTTTTTCCAAAAATCTGGACGTTTCGGGTAAAAACTGAATTCGGAGTCGTAAACTACATGTGTAGGACTATGTTATTTTATACAATTTAAGACCTATTTACTATGTACAATTTTGAAGTGACGTCATCGCATTAGTGGTGGGGATGATTAGACAAATTTTGGTTAGCGTTTTACCATCTACATGATATTCCTAATATAAGTACAAAATTTCACAACAATCGGTCCAGTACTTTCGGAGATTATCTGTCTAATAAAAATCCGGGACGGCAGACGGACAGACGGACGGACAGACGGACGGACAGACGGACAGACGGACGGACAGACGGACGGACAGACGGACGGACAGACGGACGGACAGACAGACGGAAATGGAAGACCTATTTCTTCGTCTTCTAGGGGTCATGAAAGATCGAGAAAACGTAAAAGCAGAGAGTCGGCCGACGAACTCGATTACAATACTTCCTTTGCTTACGCTCGGGAAGTAAAAAACTACAATAGTTATTCCAATATTGTAATGTAGCATCATTCTCATACAAATGTTTCAACGAGCATTGAAAAATAACTGATAATTTTATCACACCTTTCAAAATACGCTCCTGGTGTCATTAATTTACGGCCCAACAACAAAAAAAAGTGCGTAGTTGATGTGTGTCATTTGATGTTAAAAGGCAAGAAATATAATTTCCTTACAAAGTAAATAATTCCCTACTAGAAAGACCGAATATTGTAAAGGACTTGGGGGTATATTTTGATAAAAACTGACGTTTACAAAGCGTTTTGGAAGTACTGGGAACATTTCACTTAAGACTTACGGATATATTATACGTATCATTAAGAGTTTTTCTAACATCTCAGCTTTAATGCAAATTTATAATGCGGTCGTGAGAAGTAAACGGGAGTATGAGTCGATAGTAGGCTTTCCCCATTGTAAAGTATATACTCGTATTCAGGATCTAGAACATCAGGGTAGGTTTCTAAAATACTTATATATTCTACAATAGAATTTTACAATTTTTTACGAACTACACAACCGATTGCTTTGAACGTTTGCTAAGAATTCATTTGTTCATCTTTTTCAAAATCTATAAATACAAAAATAAAATTTGTTGATCCAAGCTATTCTTAGAATCTATAAAACGGATTTTCTCTTAAGATTTCGATAAGACAGTTTAAGACAAAATTAATGATCGCATTAAAATTTCCCTGTTCGTCAGTTCTAAAAAGTCAATGGATTCCAGTTATCATAAAAATTTATCAGATAAATGCAATCTTAAACATAACGTTGTTTGCGCTTTAAAAATATATTTTTATTACAAAACTGTTTTGAAAAGTACATTTTATTGATTAAATAAAAAACATTTGCAGAATTATCTTTTATAATTTATCTAACAAATTGGATTTTTTTTTGTTTGTATTGATGAGGCTGATACGTGTTTAAACTCCATATTAATCTTAATAATAATGAAAAAACTTTCAGAGTTTAAATAATAAATTCGTAGTTTCTCTTTTGCCTGAAGACGGTACTGTGTACCGAAACACGTGTAGCAGTGACTACGAATATATTATTTAAACTCTGAAAGTTTTTTCATTATTATTAAGATCAAATTGAATTTGTTTGATTGTGTTTTAGAGGCGAAGGAAGTTCTGTTCAAATAATTTTATACAAATTATTTCCTTCGGTTTTAGTTTTTTATTAATTCCCTAACAAAATAAAAAATACTATTATAATTTTGCTAGTTTCTGTTACTGAATCTTTATCAAAACAATGTGATGATGGAAAAGCTTGTATTTTGGAAGGTTGGTATTTTTGTCGAAAAGCTGTAATAATATGGCGAAAGCTTATCAGTAATCTAGTAGTTCAGATCTTTTTTCAAAGTGGCCATAATTAGAATATTGTACTAAAACGATGGTCAAAATTAGGTCGACGCCACAGAAGTTAAGGTTTTATTCTAAAGTGAGGGTTAACATATTTTGTCACCTACTGGTATTATCATCAGAGCTATATGACGTACAGAAAATTAGCTTACAAAAAATATTAAAGTTAATGCACTTACCACAAGCACAAAACTTAGCAATTAGTCTAAAAATCGGATTCTAGGGCAAATACCTTTTCATTTTGGTTGTAGAGGAATTCATTGAAGTTGGATATAAATGTCTTTCTGAGAAAATCCTTTTACTGGATTTTAACTCCTTTCTTTTAGTATTACGAAACACGTATACGATGCACGCCGCAATAGGATGTCGGGTTTTATAATAATTAATTATGATATTTCTATATGATAAATAAATAAAAAAAGCATCTTTTATAATAAACAACAAATGACAATGCATGGATATTTACTTTAATTAACCCAATCATCATCATTAATATTATTATTGCACACATTCATCCTTCTCCGAAAAATGATAATGTAACTACCAATATGAAGCAAGTCGAGAACAAGAAAGCGCAAAAAGCTAAAAAACTTTAGTTAATAAGAGAACAAATTATGTAATTGGTACTAAGCAGTCCAACAATTCGTTCACTTTACAAGTACCTACTAAAAAAGCATTCTTCTATATATCAGGGCTTAGTCCCGAGACTACCTCTGATCAAGTGGTTAATTTTTTAAAAGCGGATTTCCCGGAAGTAGGAACATGCGAATCCGTTCTATCCAAATACCCTGAACACTATTCGTCTTACAAAATAACAGTCGACCTTCTTAATAAAGATAAAGTTATGGCTGCTGATAAATGGCCCCAGGGAACGTATATTTCAAGATATTTTCAAAGACGACCCATGAAAGAAAAACCATCAATTTTTCCCTTAGTGAAACAACCCATACAACAAATGAAAACATAGGCGAATATAAACAAGTGCGTTTGAACAGTGGCTTAATTACATCTCGCTGCGTTAAAGACGTTGCACAAGTGTACTACCAAAATGTTCACGGACTCATGTCCAAACTGGTGAGCTTCTATACTTCAGTTTTGTGTGACGATCATCCATATATGGGCAATTTCACCGTTACTTAGGCTACGGGACTGCAAAGTTTTTTGATTTTAAACTTTCCTCATAAGTGGTTTTACACTTTCATTTTTTAACCTAATCGTAGAGATTTGTTTTCTCTTTTTGCTTAATAATTTGATATTACTAAAGTCATATCTAATTTAGTCAAAATTTAATTAAAAGTTTGCGTTACTTACGCTAAACCTTTGAACCTGCCTTTTCTGAAATTGATAAATTTTCTCCATTTTCTATGGAATTGTGAACTATCATACAAAACAAGTTATATTGATATAGAGAAGAAGTTTAATTTTGATTATGTCTGAAAAAAAAAACTGCGTTACTTACACGATGTCATCGTTTCTTAAGCGAACTTGTGAATATTAGCTGTCACGAAAGTAAGAAAAATTGCAAATTCGTGTTGTAAACAAAAGGAAATGTTGGTTGAAGGTTGTTTAGACAGAACTTGCCTCGTCAATGAAGTAGGTACAATGAAACATTTCCAGCATTTTCGAAAATTATAAAATTTGATTTTACAAATTTTATTTTTTTATGAAAACCTCTGCAAGTTGAAATAAACAAATGTAAATGTAAAAGCATCAAGTGCTGAAAGAAAAAATATTCAAACTTACCGAATTTACAATTTATTAACTTGATGACGACATTGCCATCATTTGAAATTTACATTTGTTTGTTTTCATTTTGGCTTTTCTCGTTTTTCTTCTTTTTATTTTCATGGGATCTTAACTTTTTTTAGCGCAATGTCTTTTTTCTTTGTGCAACTTATGTTTGCCCTATATATCTGCTGAAATTTTCGGTTGGTTGATTTTAGGTATTCTGATGAGTCTTTCTAATTTTTGTCGGTGTTTTCTTACTCTTTCAGTGGATGTTAAAGACATTTTGAATAACACAGCAAAATCAAATTATTGGTAGATTGACGGCTGTCAAGACTAATTATTTAATTCCAAAGCTAAGCCACCGAAAGAAAATTATCCCGTTTCGCGTAAGTAACAATTTTTAATAATAATCACAAGGCAATTTCAATAAAAGTGTAATGAAAATAGATTGCGAGAACGAGAAAAAGAAATAATGTAACCTGATTTGCAATTATTTTTAATATTTCCGAATACTATGAAAATTACTCCCTTATCGTTGCTTACTCCAATTATCACATACACTGCGTTTCAAATAAAATGCACCACCTAGAAGGAGTAGGCGTAGAATGTTGAAATTTGGTGGAGAAGACTATTGCACGTAGACAAACATTTGATTAAAATTTCAAAGAAAAAATAAAATGTCTAACACAAGAAATGTTAATAATGTGTTAAAATTCCACGTGCACGAATACAAGACTGTATTCTTCTAGGCATGCTTAAAATGAGATGATCTATTGCCTGCTGGGGTATCTCATTCCAGGCATTTTGAATTTGTTGTAGACATTCTTCCAAAGTCTTTGGAGGATGTGGTAAATTGCGCAGCCTTCTATGCATTAAATCCTAAACATTTTCGATTGTTGATAAATCTGGTGATAGGGCAGGCCAGGGTAAGAAGTTGACGTTATTTTCGTCAAACACTCTTTAAGTTAATATGGCCACATGAGGCCACGCATTATCTTGTTCAAAAGATGTTCTTCGACGGTTCGAGAGATAAGGAAAAAGAAATTGATTTAACACGTTAACGATGTAATGCCGGGCATTTAGCGTGCCTGGAATGAACACTAAGGGAGTACTTCAACAGATGTGTATACCATCCCATATCATTACTCCAGGTGTTAGAGCGATATGACATCTCTGTACAAATTCCAGATTTTACCTTTGACCTCAAGGCCTTCGAACACGTATGCGTCCATCAGAGTGCCACAAACAAGACCTAGACTTGTTCCTAAACATTATGACATTCCACTATTACAGCCATTGCTGCCTGTCTTGGTACCAGTGAAGCCTGGTAGTTTTGTGTTCTTGTGGTAAGGGAAGTTTGCAGTTTGGACGATAAGATCTCAAGCCAAAGGAACGAATTTGGCGGTAGATGGTACTCCTCGGATTCTGTGCCCAATTGCTGTCATCCAGTCCATCCCGACTGATCGTTATGGTTACCAAGGGTACTGAATAACACTTCTTCTTAGCAAATGATCTTCGCGTTCTTGGGTGACTCTGAAACGGTCGGTACCCCTGCGACGCATTTGTAGCTCTTCGTTGTTCCATTCTCGACTTGTTCTTAATATCGTAGAATCCGTTGGGCCGAGTCTTCTGGTGATTTCCCGAAATGGTAAACTAGCCTCATGCATCCCAATCATTCGCCCTCTTTCAATAGGTGTTATCTGTTGAAAATTACCTCGTGTGTGAACTCGTAGCATTTTTGCAAGCACAATAATGACAAATGTCAAGTAAAATTGCAAAAGAATCTTACTCAAGTATCTTTAAAACATAATCAAAAAATTAATAAAAATCGAATAACACTCGGTATATTATCTAAACAAGTAGTAGTTTTTCTTTCAAATTTTAATCAATTGTTTGTCTATATGCAACAGTCTTCTCCACCAAATTTCTACATTCTACGCCTACTCCTTCTAGGTGGTGCATTTTATATGAAACGCAGTGTATATCAGAAAAAAGAAGTGTAAAATTTTTTTAAAGATGATGTTGAGATACCTAAGTATTGATTGTACATTATTGTCCATAAAGATGTACTCTTTATGTGCTTTATATTGTAAGTAAATCAAGATATTTACTTTGGTTCTAACAATGTTAAAGCACATATAATATCTATCATTTTTTGAACAATTTTATTATTCCTCAATACCAATAAATTTTTACTGCGGGTGTTATGGTATTGTAAAAGCAAATATATGCCAGTAAAATTTAAAGTTTTTAGAAGTACTAATTGTAAGATTTACATTAATTTAACAATTTTCAAAAAAATGTGCTGAGGTTAACATTTTCGTGGAATTGCCCATATCGTACTTAGTAAAACATGCTTAACGAAAGACAAAAAAATCCAAATTATTTCGTACATTGTATGAGGTTTACCGGTGTGATCGTGATTATACATCTGAATATCAACGAGGTGGACGTGTTCTAATTGCCGTTAAAAACGTTTGGCTTATATAAAAACTCATTTTACCATCTTAAATTTATTCATTGGGTTAACCTTAAATCAGCCTGTGAATATAGTAATCAAAATATGAATCAAAACCATCATTTAAAGGACTAGAAAAACAACTACTATTTCTTGCTAATATAAGCAGATTTTCAAAGTAATACGTATTAATTGTAGATATTATAGTACTGATAATATTTACTTATTTAGTAAAAAACGCAAACACAAAATAGTTTCATCATGTTAAAAATCAGCTACTGGTTTACAAATGTTTAATGTAAAAATATAATATAAATATTTTGCATTATATTTCTGACAAGACGACTCTAATTGACCTCTGCCTAATGAATTACGCATTGCTACACGGTGTTGTTACCACTTCAAAATGGTCTTACAAGTTATACACCTCTTTTTAGATTTTATTCGTTGTTGAATATATTGTGTGTCGAAATGCGCACGAATTTTAATGTTTTAAATTTAGCTGTATTAATCTACACTACACTTTGCTTCTTAATTTTTTTGCGTTATCAAATTCGGGGGAAATGAAATATTATAGCCGAGTTTTACAGTTTGCAGAAGATGAATTTATTGCTAAATATATTTAAAAGATTATCGATTTAGCAACTGATCAAACATCTTTCAAAGAAAGTTGTGATAATGCATTTAGTAATAAAACCGAAAATGATAACAATATTTCAGGTATAAAAGGCACTGAAAATCTTATTCTTGTCAGTAGTCACACCTTTGTAAAAGTTGTGTAGTACCCTGTCTTGTTTTTGCGATGGATAATACAGAAAACGAATGTTTTATTATTGACGAAAAGTCAGAGTTGGTGACAGATATTGCGTTGTTATATGGAACCAAAAAATGTTCTGATATCGATTTAATTATTAACAAAGAAAGAATTTTGGCCCACAAGGTAAGAGAATTTGTATTTTGATTCGTGTCGAATATATCTCTAGTTGCTTGTATTTATACATCACTAAAATTTTACCTGATCCACACCATTGTTAATCAAAAAATAATTTAGGTTATTCTCGCGGCAAGAAGTTCCTATTTCGAGAAACTCCTCTACAAATACGGAAAAGAAATAGAACAGGTAAATTAACCCCTTGAGATGCATAATATTTTTTCCAAATTTTAAATTTTAGAAAGAACTCACAATCTGCCTAAATACTTCAACCGATTACTTCCGAGAAATTATCAAATTTATCTACACTGGTACGTTCAGTTCAATTTTTAATCTAGAATTCAACATTTTGTTTTAGGTGTTATAACTATAAACCTTTCAAACTTGGACACTGCTCTGGATCTTCTTGATTTAGCCCATCAGTGCGGCCTTACAGACGTGGAAACCATCATAGGGCAGAAATTGAAGTCTCTCCTCAATGACAAAAACATTATCCCTATTTTGAACATGGCAAATCTCTATGACCTAATCGAACTTCGCGACGCTTGCCATGCCTTCATAGACCCAAAGGCTTCAGAAATCCTCAAACAAGAATCTTTCAAGGAATTAAGCCAAGTAAAAACCGAACTTATCTTTATGCTTTTTGACAAGTCTCTTACAGAAATCTTTGATTAAATTGTTGGAAAGAGATTCGTTTTTTGTTCCCGAAATCGAGATTTTTGAAAGCATAGCTCAGTGGTGTCAAGCTAATATCCACGATGCTGATTTAGTGGTGAAATGTGTTCGGTTATCTTTGCTGACTGTTGAAGAAATTGTGTCCATAGTTTGGCCGTCGAAGCTTGTCGCTTGTGAAGATTTACTGCAAGCTATTGCGGAAATTGTTGAAGTAAAACCGAAACAGAGTAGTTGCAGGGGAAAATTATGTAAGGAATTTAGTAGCTGTGATCATTTTCTTAACTATTTTCTTTTTAAGTATTGGAGGTTAATGTTGCTACTCCTGAATATAACGCTACTGTGATTGCCGGCGATAACACCAAATATGTATTAAATGGCAATAGAGACGTGAATAAGTGGACAACGACATTAAATGGCGATACCACTGGACTGGTTATTAAACTTGGGTTCCCGGCTGTTATTAATCACATTCGTATGTGTTTGTACGATGGAAATTTAAGGTAAATCAATTATTTATGAAAAAGATCAAACTATATATAATGAACTTTAGAACTTTTCGGTATTATGTGGAAGTTTCAATCGACCAGAAGGAATGGAAAAAAGTTATAGATTATAGTAACTTTGGTTGTCGATCTTATCAGCATTTATATTTTGAAAAACAAGTTGTACAGTATGTGAAAGTGGTTGGTACTTACAGTTCACTAAATGAGGTATGACTTGTTTTAATTATCGATTAGATCCACTTGTGCTTTTTTGTCGTTTATAGTACTTTCACTTGATATTCTTCGAAGCCTATTGCAAAGAAAATATTCCTAGAATCGTAAATGGCATCGTCTATCCCACTTCAAACGTTGCTACCGCGGAAAAAAAAGCAGCAGTTATTGAAGGGTTAGTTTATTTTAAGACTGAACACTTTGATAAACATTAAAACATTACGTAACATTAAAATTAATAGGACCAATGGAGCTGCATTACTTGACGGGGTTACTACCAACTATCAGAACTACACATCCCACAAAATTGGTTCGGGAAGTATAATCGTACAGTTAGGTGAGTTTTATCTTGAATATTCAAGGTTTTTATCATTTCTTTGTAATATTACAACAACTAATAAACAGGAGAAACCAAAAATTATTTATAAGAAAAACATTTATCTATTGTATCAATTAAAATTTCTAGCTCAACCATTCATGATTTCAAGTATGAAGCTTAAATTGTGGGACAACGATGATAGGTTTTACAAATATTATGTTGAAACTTCAGTAAATATGACTGAATGGACAATCGTCGCAGATCTCAGAAACGAAGAAAATAAATCTTGGCAAGTCTTACGTTTCTCTGACAGACATGTATCTTTCATCAAAATTACTGGAACTGAAGCTTCTCCGGTTGCTGGAAAGGTTTGTGTTTTAGTGCAACTGTGGCGTTTTTATTAATTTTCTGCATTTGTGTAGGTTTTCGCTTTACTACACTTTGAATGTCCCACGGATGACGAAAATGAGACGTGTGAATAATATCTTCAAGTTGCACCAAGAATATTAGAACATTAACTTGAACGAAACGGCGATTCAAAACGTTGACTACTTAAATAACATATACTTATATAAATATATATAAACAATAACAATAATAATAACTGAGTTTATTGTCCTTGTTAATTATGGTGATGGTAATAAATCTTTGTAAGAAACAAAATACTGTTACGATTAACGGACGAATAATTAATCGGGCGTAGGTAAAACTCAACAATGTATATCTTAATAACTGGTATTTGCACGACTTAACTATTGCAACGATTATGTACAGAAATTATTCCGGCGAATTTTACTGGACGCTCTTGACTGACTCCACTCGGTGAATGAATCCGTCCCCGACGGTCGCCTCTATTTAAACCCATCTTCTCCGACCGAGATCTTTCTCGAGTATCTTCCGGTAACCGGCTCCAGACTTGTCTTTATGCGAGCGCTGCCAGGGTGACGTCATCCACGATGCGTCATTATCACCGTAAAAGAAAGCTCGGGAACCCATGGGCGTCGTACCGGGGCGGCGTATGGGTTTATTTCGTAACAATCCGATGTATTTTTACTATTCGAAGCACAAATTAGTTGAGTATTGTTGTATGCTCCCTTTATTGAATAACTAATTTCATGATGTCTTGTCGTTTCCTATAATATAAAGGACAAGGTCCAAGAAACAACGAAACCCTTTGCCTTTAAATTTACACACAAATTCTTATCAAAATTTGTTTTATAGTATTGAAGATCTCACCGACTTTTTACTGACAGTTATTTCTCTGAACATTGTTTTCATAGGTAGTTACTATTCCTTATACGTATTGTTACGTTGAACGGGTGATTAAAACCGGCGTGGGTTAAACTCACCAATTTATTTCTTACTGACTCGGATTTACGCGACTAATTACAGAGCGATTATGTACAAAATAATTCCGGAGCAACATTCACTGGGTTCTCTCAACACTGGTTGGACTCCATTTGTTAAGGCTGTCTTTTCGTTTTGGTGGACTTCTTCGTTCGATGTAGGCGGAAACTGTTTTCGTTACACGAAACAAGTATAGAAATACGTCATAAAATGAGAGATACTTCTAGTTCAGTAAATAAACAAAGATAGGTTTTAGCCGCTTGTTAGACCGACTGCCAAACACCTCATTCTTTCGGGATTGGCCCGTTTGTTTTCTGTCGAAATCGTCAATCAGTCTCAAATGCAACGTGGACCGTACCCGGAAGTAATAAATCTGAAATGCAAGTGGTACACTTTGTAGTGGACCGTAGCTGATATGATTTTGTGAGAGATAAATAATTCGAGAACAGACTGTTCAGTTTATACTAATAAATATTGTGATAATTGTGTAAAAATTTTAGTAATTTGACAAAAAAACACGTTTTGTCTGAGACCCTTAACAACGTCCCAAAACAAAATTCAGATTGTCTTATCGCTGAAGAAAATTCTCCATCGTCAAATTCGTAAGTAAAGATTGTCCAGAATTATATGAATTTTATGGACTCCCAACGTTAATTCATTTTACAGCCCAGGCGTCAATTCTATTGTACAGGTAAAGAGCCTGTCAGGGGAAAGCCGATGTTTTCTGTACCTGAGTTCGCCCCGCTCTTCAGCTGTACAATAAAATTGACAACAGGGATGTAAAACAAATTAACTTTGGGAGTCCATAAAATTCATATAATTATGGACAATCTTTACCTATGTACAGGGTGAGTAAAATACACGTAATGACTCAGCCTGTAAGTATAATTAAAAACCCAACTCACATATTTTTGAGTATTATGTAAGGGCACGTGCCCCCCAAAATTACAACATCTACAAACACACTAGACATGGTAAAATAGTAATTTTCAGTATTTAAAAAATTATCCGGAAATTTGTGTCATAATTATCAAAACTTTATCAATAATTTGAAAGAAGCAACGGTTTTTAAAGAAACGCCTGAAACTGTTCAAAATGAACTTTTAGATGCCACGAACGTAAAATTTTAACCGAAGGCAAAAAGGTATGTGGAGAAATCCTCTTTTACTTTTATTGAATGTATTTTTGTATTTATTTCCGTCACACAATTTCGTCTATTAATTGATAATAACAACCTGTTTTATATCTTCATATTTAACTCATCAATCAAATTGTGTCCCCCATTTCAAAAGGTCAGGAGCCGCCACTGGAAATCTCAAAACGAAATCCGGAAATTCCAATATAATAACTTTGCAAGTACTTAATTCATATAACAAATATTGCACTTATTGTCGGAAAACGGGACATGTTTTAACAACTGTCGAAATAAGAACAATGGTCGAAACATCCATCATATTTATAAAAACACTTCCAAAGAATCAAGTTCTAACAATTTTTCCTATCATCAAAAACTTAACCCTCTTCCTGCTGGACTAAAATTTTGTAATTACTGTAAAAAACCAGGTCATTTAATTCAGGAATGAAATCAAAATTTCACTAACAATAATCAAAATAAGAGCAATAACCAATTTGAAAATAAAAATATATGTTCGAATTTTATGCCTTTATGTAGTGCCTGATTCTTTCCACGTTCCTTTCAGTTGTCTTTTAGGTAATGATTTCTTTAAGGCATTTAATTGCTTAATCGACTACGAAAGAGACAGATTTTATGTCGGAAGAAATTTTTTTAAACTACATCACACTGAGCCTTTTGTAGAAGAGAATAAACAGTTAAATCAATCCTCCAGCCCAAATTCAAACCCATTCTCAATTTTGAATTCAAATTTAAGTTCAACCTCAGATTCAGTTCCACATTCTAATCCTAACTCTCTTAATCCTGATGTCAAATTTCAGTTAGCCCCACGTTCAGAAATGTCCTAAAACTAGATCTATTAGAAGGCGTTTATATCTGCCCAAGTTTAGTAAAAGTTGATGAAAATAACCTATTCGTCACTACAATTCTTAATACGACAGACCATGGCCGACTAGTATAAAGATTATGGCCTGTCCAAAGGAATGCCAAAGGTACCATACGTGCTGCCATCTATTAATAATTCAAAAACGACAAAAGAATTATTAACACTTTTTGAAAGGCACAAAGGCATTCATACCGAAACAAACCACCTTTACACGTTTTGAAGTCCCATAATGTCAAGTCAAATTAAAATTTTGCTAAATTATTAAGTGTAATTATTAATAGATGGCAACACGTATCGTACCTCTTGGACAGGCCATAATCTTTATACTAGTCGGCCATGGACAGACAAGACTATTAACGTCAAGGCAATTGACATCGTTCTAGATCCATTACCCGAAATTAATGAAACAATCGCAGGATTAAATATCATCAGTACCTACCCCCGAGCAAAATTCTAAAGGCGAACGTTTAAACCAAATTTCCTCATTATTAATAACAAACCATTTAAATAAAGAAGAAAAGGATTCATTAACCAAATTATGTGATGATATAATTCAGCTCTAGTTGTCTGGAGTACAATAACTCCGTCACCACTTCTTCGCGTCCAGTCTCTTCTCCGGCCGCCGTCACGGGCAATGAGTCATCGTCGTATGGGTTTATTACGTAACAGTATTAAATGTACTTTGTGTATTGATCTGTATCTCTTTAATGTAAGCAGATTTACAAAGCAAAATTAATTTTAGATAGTAGTAGTATGTATATACTAATAAAAATTTGTGAGCTTACCTTTAGAAATATGTATAAATTTGAGGGTTGTATTTAGGATCGCCAGAGACTCACTCGACGAAATACTGAGACAAAATAGTTTCATGAAATTGAAAATCAGTTACATACCGACCTCTTAAAAACGGAGAGATCAATTTAATATTCTGTTACTGTATACGCGATACTTAGAGATACCTCATTAGCTAAAATTCAGTACAGGATAACAGAAATTCACCCCTGGTTATCATTCGTCTATCGTAAAGCCTTGATTATGATTTATGACTTCATGGATAATGGGCTTTTTAGCATTTCGACTTAATTTCTTTGAAAAGTAATGTTCTCATTATACGACTTATTAATTGACAACGTGGATAATTAAACCGCTGGTAATTAGGTTAATGAGTAATTAATTGATGTTATTAGTGACGTCACCCTTAATGACAAAAAATGTATACTGTTCTACTCATATTCAAATTTTTATTTTATCCTTAATGTAGTAAGTGTCCGATTTCTGTATTTTGCTAAATATCACCTTCGTTTATTTTAATAAAGATGCAGAGGTTTTTGTTCAAATATTGTTGGTGTATGTCAAATGCAATATTTTGACTAAAACAACCTTCCCAGGTGTTTGTTCGTTCTTTAAATTCAAAGAAACTTTGTTTAAAATACCCGTGTGGAGAAAATATGGCCCTGGAAATAAAATCAGTTATTGCAATTCAAGGAAAAAGCCTAATTTAATAGAAGAAACTCATCAGGGTATCTATCAGTTCCTTTTTGCAGTAAGCGTAAATGGGAAGATTAAGCGCGGTGTCGGCGTTATGCAATGTTTAGCAGCTATGGGATGAATATTAGGTTTCAACGAAAACTGTCGAAAATCAATCTGATTTTTGTGAATGTTTTTTTTACTTATTTGTTGTGCACAGGTTTCGGTAGTACTTCTTGGTTTTACTCCAGAAGTTCAGATCACCATTTTGATGTTGCCTTACTTGCCTTTATGTGATTCATAACAACGGAATAAATAAATAAGACTAAACTGAAAATACAATACAAAATTGTAATTAAGTATGTAAATTAATTATAACGAAAGTTCATTATTAAAAGAAAGCGTATTGTAAGATGTTATATTTATTGGGGTAATAAAAATTCTTGAGTAAAAAATGCATTTTTACTTACCGAGCATAAGCAAAGGAAGTATTGTAATCGAGTCCGTCGGCCGACTCTCTACTTTTACATTTTTTCGACCTTTCATGACCCCTAGAAGACGAAGAAATAGGTCTCCCGTTTCCACCAGTCTGTCCGTCTGTCTGACATACCGGATTTTTATTAGAGAGATGACCTCCGAAAGTACTGGACCGATTGTTGTGAAATTTTGTATTTATATTAGGAATATCATGTAGATGGTAAAACGCTAACCAAAATTTGTCTAATCATCCCCAACAATCGTGATGACGTCACTGCAAAATTGTACATAATAAATGGGTTTTAAATTGTATAAAATAAAGTAGTCCTACACATGTAGTGTGTAACGGCGAATTGAGTTTTTATCCGAAAAGTCCAGATTTTTGGAAAAGAAATCAAAATTATAAAACAACATTTTGCAATATAATTTAGAATCTGTTAATCCGAATGCTTTGAAATGTTGCAGATGTTTTAAGGCTGTAAAGAGCATCATAAATCTTTAGTCAAAATATATTTGGTTATCCCCTCCAAAAACTTGATGACGTCAGCTCAAAATTTTGTCGAATAAATCCTATCTAAAATGTACAAAATATGATGAGTCTGTACTTGTGATCTATCAGTCCATTCATATTTTTTGGATTTGCATATACAGGGTGACTCAAAAAAATAGTGAATGCGTAAATTTATGATGTTTTAAAATTATCATAAGCATGGTAAATTTTTGATCAAACTGTATTTGGTCGTCCCCCCTAAAAAAATTATGACGTCACCACAAAATTTTGCTGAATAAATTCTATCTAAAATGTACAAAATATGGTGAGTTTCTTCTTGTGATTTATCATTACATTCAAATTTTTTAGATTTGCATATACAGGGTGACTCAAAAAAATTAATGAATGCGTGAATTTATTTTATTGAGTTAATCAGGAATTACAAAACTGAATGCTTTGAAATCTTGCAGATGTTTTAAGGCTATAAAGAGCATAATAAATTTTTAGTCAAAACATATTTGGTTATCTTCTCCAAAAAACTGATGACGTCAGCTCAAAATTTTGCCGAATAGATCCTATCTAGAATGTACAAAATATGAAGAGTCTGTACTTGTAATTTATCATTCCATTCATATTTTTTGAATTTGCATATACCGAGTGACTCAAAAAAAATTATGAATGCGTATATTTACTTTATTCATTTACTCAGGAACTACAAAAGTGAATGGTTTGAAATCCATTGCGAAAAAAAAAACATAATAGGCATGCAGTCGTCCGTTTCCGACCGCGAGGGAAGTACTGTCTAAACTCTTTAGACCATTTTTTTTAAATTGCCCCGCTACAAAAATGTAATGAGAAAAAAAAACATAATACTGTATAAAAAAAAAAGTTAATTCCAATTCGAACGCTTAATTTGGGATAGAAGAAGTATTATTTTATCATATACTTAATAAGTACCAGTTGAATCTTTCACTCTCTTTCTTTTTATATTTAGAATGGTTTTTGAGTAACCCCACTACTTATTACATTTTTATAGCACGTGTAAGCACTCAAACTGATTAATATGTTTAAATTCTTCTCGAAGACAGATACTAACGAATTTATTTATGATCAAAGTAACTCCAATAAAGTTTAAAATCAGACAGCCAAAGAAATTGCTCCTACTTTTTTCTAAATGAAAAGATATGAAACTCAACCACCGAAGGACAGAGAGCTAGAGAAACGATATAAGTGACTTCACTAAAACTACAGCGTCAAAAGCAGTCCAACTAAGATTTACCACAAGCAGGAAACGAGAGAGCATAACATTTGGATATAAATGACATCGAGAAATGCACGTAAAAACAGAACGATCACAAACAAAAGCTGTGTAGTGGACATCAAATAACATTCAGAAAAGAAACAGTTCCTGCAATCGCCAAATTCTCTAGATCTACGACGGTTTTCAAAAACACAACGCTAATACAAACTAAAATTCGTGAATTACGTAATATTAATACGAAGTTCGAAACGAGACACAAGTAGGCGTCTGTCGTCACCTCTACTAATTTTGACATCACTCAAAAATTTTCGGTTATTCATAAAATCAAAATATTTGCCTTGTAGAGCATTGCTATTTCATTACGTTCCAACATGAATCCTGACGGTGTAAGTCCGTAAGTCACTTCGAGGAATAACTTACGATATAACGATATAAATTAGCGTTACAGACCACCGTATCCTTCCAAATCTCCAACACCAACTCGAGAAATGGAAGCGAGCGGTACCAGCAGGACGCACGTATACCTGGACGACGAAACCTTGCACAGAATGATCGAATCTTTCGGACCACTGGAATATTCTCAAGTATCTAACAGATTAAACACAAACCCTCTTTAACTTATTTTACAGTTTGCCGCCACTCTCAATTCGCCCGAAACCTATGGAGCCCTTGGAGAGCAAGACCCTTTTGCAAATCTGGGTGTTCAGCCCGAATTGGCTTGGACAACTCCGGTAACTAGCACCTCTTCCAAAAACTGATATTTACAAACCCATCAACAGGAATCTATTAACAGAAGAAAAGGAAGATCGCCACGTACCGAGACTACCATTTCGTCGGAGCATAGCTATATGATGTCACAAGCCGAAATAGCAGCAGATGAGAGCAACCCTGAAGCAGCTGAAGCCAAAAAGGAAAGTCTCATCGAATGGTACCTACCAAACGGCAAAACCAATGCTTTCGTTATGACAAACTCGTTTCAGGTTTGATCGTTCAGTGGAAAAAGAACTTGAAAAGAGAAGAGACACAGGAAGCCCAACAGCCAGTAGTCCAGTCGATCCAGCACTGGCGCCCATCAAAGCCAAACATGCTTTAAACTTATCAAAAGGTGCAGCCGAAAGAATGGCTGAAGCTAGTGCCAGTAGGGTGGAGATCGCTGCAAGATTACAAAGTGACTTTACGACGGAATTGACTGATGCTGTCGAGAAATACGCTAAAGCAGAAACTATGTCCAATTATACAGAAGCATTGCAAGCTGCTGAAGCGGCTGCTCTAAATGCTCCTCCTGAATTAATGGAACAAGCAGCAGCTGCTGAAGCTAAAAGGATCCAGGCGGAGTTTTCGAGGGTTAAGGAAACGATTCCGGGGGTTAGACCCATAGAAGTTGTGGGCTACGTGGGTATTACTAAACCTGTTCATCCCAAAAAGCCGAGATAGCGTCGAAGAATATTTTGTTACATTTTTTTTAATAAAATGTAACTCTTTTCCATGTATTTATGTTTGAAAAACATAACAATTCTCATTTTTCAATAAAAAATTTAAAGCTATAAAAATGTGTAGGGTGTTACGTTTAAAAAATGCACTATGTTGTGTAACTTTCAAACGGAACGCCCTAGTACTACATCTGAAAATAATTTACAATTTTAACCCTCGCGCAGATAAGTTCTATCAGACTGCTTCAAAAATTGATGTCAATAAATAATGGGGAATAAGAATGCTTAATCTGGTATATGTATATAGGGTGAATCTAAGCAAGCGCTCCCCAATATCTCATTATTTATTAGAAATAGAAAAAAAATGGTCGAGTTTTATTTCTACAGAACTTTCCTCGCTCCGAAATCCAAAAAATCCCACTTTTTAAAAAGTTGTAAAATTAGATTTTGCTATGTTTATTTTATGATAACCTTTATAAAATAAAAACCAGCGGCATAAATAATACTCGCCGTGGGGGCGCAAATTGCACAAGTACGGACAATGAAAAATATATTTAAAAAGCAGATAGCCAACACGAAAAATGGTTCCTCAGCAATAATAAGCTTTAGCTGCAAGTGTTTGTTTATATACTTATAGGAAAAATGTCACCTAGAAATTTGTTTGCTCTGAATCAGTTTGTCACCTCAAAACAGAGGACTAAAATTTTAAGACCCACCACTGACCCGGAAATGACCGGCATTCAGGCAAGACTTCTATCATTACGGGTACTAAGACCAAGTAATGATATGCATTGATTAAATGAACAGAACAACTTTCGAGATTCTAGAATTACAGCATACAAATTAGTCTGCTATTATTCTCTAATCTCACACCATCCCCAAAAGTCTAGCGTAACTACCGACCATTTATCCGCGCATCACTTGGAAAGTGACCTACACTACTCTGACCTACTGGTGCTAACCTAATCTGACTGACATGATCAGACTGTTCAAGAAACTTACGAACAATATGACATGTTCCTAACAAAACAGCTTTTTGAATTTTGATAATTATTGAATCATTCAAATGCAAAGACTTTAAATTCTCAACTAAGCTATTTGGAAGTACACCTACATTAGACATAACTAGGGGTAGAATTGAAATTTTTTTAAGATTCAACATGGATTTCATTTCTATCGATAATTGTAGAGATTTTGAAATCTTGGTGTGGTATGTTTGAATAATGTTGTTTGTGTTAGGAACAGCAATGTCATTGAGAATGGCTTCGTTCGTGTGTTTTTTGATAAGTATGATGTCTGGTCTGTTAGCTGTAATGTTTAAGTCTGTAAGTATTGTGCGATCCCAGTATAATTTGTATTTGTTATTTTCAAGGAACGGAGATGGAATGTAAGTGTAATAGGGTGTTGTATCTTCGATTAAGTTCATAAGTGTTGCTAATTCTTTGTGGATGATTTTGGCGATGTTGTCGTATCTAGCTTTGTAGTCAGTTTGTGCTAGGATGCTGCAGGAAGAAATTATGTGCTGGATCGTTTCAGGTTTTGCTTTGCAGAGGCGACAGCAGTCGTTTCTTATGTTCGGATCTTTGATGATGTATTTTTTGTAATTCTTGGTATTGATTACTTGGTCTTGAATAGCAAACACAAATCCTTCTGTTTCGGCATACAAACTGATTTTTTTAACCAAATCAATGACATCTTCTTATTGACATGAGTTTCTTCTAAGTATTTGTAGAATTTTCCATGAAGTTGTTTTTGTTTTAGCCCACTTATTATTTTATCTATTGTGTGCGAGGTGTGGATTTCTTCGGTGTTCGACAGATTTAAGGGTGTGTGGTTCAAATCTGCTCTTGTGATGGTGTGAAACATTTCATTTCTTTCCGCTCGTTTCAAGAAATACTTCTTCAAATCAGAGATTTGTCTCTGACATAAGTTTTCTAGGTTCTGGAAACCCCTTCCTCCATTCTGTCTTGGTAATGAAAATCTTTCAATTGACAATTTTGGATGATGCCTTCTATACTGTGTGAAAATTTTCCTTGTTGCGATGTTTAAATTTTCAAGATCAGTTTTGGACCATTTAATGACTCCAAAAGAATATGTTAGCAGTGGAACTCAGAATGTATTTACTGCTTTCATTAAATTTTTTCCATTTAACTGTGTTTCAATATTAATTTTAATCTTGCTAGGTATTGATCTTTCAAATGTGTTTTCGTTTTGGTATGATTGATGTGGGATGATTGATAGTAACCCAGATATTTGTATGTATCGTTTCGTTCTTGGGCTTCGATTATTTCGTTATTCTGGGTTATATGTGGTACTTGGTGTTGGACGCCTTTTTTGATTGCTTGGGTCTTACATTTCTCAATACCAAAAGACATACCAATATCACCGGAAAATTGTTCAGTCAGATTTAATAGGTTTGTTAACTGATTTTGTGTACTTGCATATATTTTTATGTCATCCATATATAGCAAGTGACTTATTCTGTTTTCTCTTTGTTTGTTAATTCTTATATTGAACCCATAATTGCAGCTGTTCAGGATATCGGAGAGGGGATTTATTGCTAAGCATTATTAATTAAACTGTGGAACAGAATGTTCTGAAAATTACTAATAAAGAGCTGATTTTAGGGTAAAGAAAAAGCAAAATAGGCCTAAAATAGGCGATAAAACGGGAGTTTAGGCCCAAAAAATTACAAAATAGGCGCTTTAGGCAAGCTCAAGGACAAATCAATTTTACGCAGCGTCTAGTTTTTTGCATAACAAATTGGATATTTTTCTAAATTTTCGGCAGAAATGTTTTTCATTTTGTCTGATAACCTAGAGACGGATCTTCCAACATAACACGATGTAAAAGGAATATTTCAAATTTGAAATTTCAGTGGGTTTCATTTTTAAATCTTTTACTACATTTTCGCCTTGTAATATATAATTTACTGACAAATTTAAGCTATTGGTATCTTGCAGCTTTTTAAATGCCATTTCACCTACTTTCCCCCTTATTATAAAACAAGTTTGTTACCAGTTTCACTAGTTTTCTTAGCTTGATAGATTTGTTTTACATCTTCCTTCTTTCTATTACATGAAACTGTTACATTCGCATAAGAATAAAATAGTGTTGCAAATATGCTATCACAAATTGACCATGTTCCTCACAAGGAAAATAAAAGTTGTAAGTATATTTCATAACAATACTCCAAAGTTTCTTCATATGTATTATCAGAAGTGAGAATATATGAACTAAAATACTCTTCCATATGATGCAACAATCCATTAAAATGTTTAGATATTTGGGTACATCAAAAATCCAAAAAACTTTGTTTGGGTTAAATTTGAAAGAGATAACGCTGATAAGTCATCCTGCATTCACTTATATAATATAGCACGCAATCCACAACTTGTAGAGATGGAAAATCATGACCTTTACAAGATATTAGATGTAGTTTTTATTTTCAACATTCGAAATCTGTTTTATATCAGCCAAGGTTATTAAATTGGATGATTCTTTTAAAGTGGGATTTATAAACTTGCTGTTGACGTTGAACTTCCCCTTGCAGTTGCTGTTCTCGCTGACATTGCTTTTAGAGCTGAAAATTGTCATTTATAAACTCCATTGTCAAGTTGCCGTTGATAGTAACTTTGATGTTCAACTTTTGCCATATTTAAAGGGGTTATAGAACAGAAGTGGAGTATCTAAGTTGATTACTACAAAAATTTACTATTTTAGACATGTTTTAAGTTCTTGTTGTCGAAATAAGTCTACACATATTACGAAAAAAAGGCAAAATGTAGCCCCACCCACCCGCCCTATATCAATTGTGATGATTTTTTTTATTCGTCGTGAGCCAAGGGGGCAGAGCTTAACTGCAAAAACCTTATTTCTCTACGAGAAATGAAAAAAATGTTTTTGAGTATCGTGTTGTTCAAAGAATACTATGTATATTAAGAAAACAATAAAGCCAGAGAATATCCCCACTCATACCTGTTCAGATCGAAGGGCGAAACTTAATTGCTCCATTTTTGTCTACAAGAATTTACCATTTTAACCTGTTTTAAAGTTCATGTCCTGAAAAGACGATTACACATGTTAAGAAAAAATGCAAAATATAAGTACCGCCCACCCGCCCTATCTCAATTGTGATGATTTTTCTTTTTAATCGTCAAGAGCCAAAGGAGAAGAATTTAATTGCAAAATCCGTATTATTTCTCTACAAGAAATTACCATATCCGGCATATTTTTGAGTATCGTATGTATGTATATTAAGAAAAAATTAAAACTAAAGAAAGCTTCACCCATAGCAGCTCTGATCCAAATAGTAATGAAGTTTTCATTCGTTCACAGACCTAGGAGCGGAGCCTAATTGCAAAATTCATACTTCCTTGCAAAAATTTACCATTTTAAACGTGTTTTAAGTTTTTAAAAATGAAAGAAAATCACAATTGAAATGGGGTGGATGGGCGGGGTTTATATTTTGCGTTTTGTTCTTAATATTCAAATACATAGTATTGTCACGTGCCCCCAAAAATCTTCAAAAAAAATATTACATTCCGAAAAAGATAAAAATGAAAACTTCAAAATTTTAGAGAAACGTAAGAAAAAATATAATTCTTAAAATTACTTACCTAGTTTTCTCGTATGTCGCCGTGGGCCACCACACACATTCTCTGCCTTTCGAAGCTCCGGCACGAGCCCAGGAAGACTCTCGTGCTGAGCTTCCAAAATCACAGTTCATCAATTTATGGCAAGCTCAGCATTATATTTATCAATGATATGTGAGGTTATAACGGAGGTTGAGATTCGGTTCATGTGTTAACTTATCTTTGAAGGTACTGAGTTGAAATCAGATGCTAAAAACATGTGTTCAAAATCTGGCATCGTTCGTTGACGAACATGCAAAAAGCCAGACGACGTCACACAAAATGCGCAATATCATACCATGTACCATAATTTTAAACATGTTTTAACTTTCTTGTTGTAACAAGATGGCTATGCATTTTAAGAAAAAAAAAAAGGCAAAATTTAATCCCCCCCCCCCCCCCCACTCGCCATATCATAATTCTGATAATTTTTTTTTATTCCTCGTGAGCCGAGGGACGAAGCTTAATTGTAAAATCCTTATTTTTCTGCGAGAAATTACCAGGTGAAACAAGTTATTAAGTAATCGTGTTATGCAAAGAAAACTAAATGTATGTATTACTTAAAAAAGAAAACCAAAAGAGAAGCCCCACCCAGCCGTCTCGATCTCAATCGTGACAAATTTTTCATTCGTTGTCAGACCGAGGGGTGGAGACTAATTGCAAAACCCATACTTTCCTACAAAAATTTACTATTTTAAACATGTTTTGCTTCCTTGTGGTGAAGAGAAGACTACACTACATATATTAAGAAAAGGTAAAATGTAAACCCTTGTAGTTATAATACCTTCTATCTTTTTTGAGATGAATAGCAATAAATCTTATTGATTTAAACGTCGAGAATTATCTTTAACAATGCATAAGTATTAACAGAAGGCTGCAGTGCAGGAAATGATGGCAGCTATTTAAAATATGAGGGTTTCAGTGAACAGGTCATTAAATGGCTTAATATTAATTTTATTATTTTCATGGAATTAGTGCTGTCGATCAGAAAAATGTCCGCCCTACTTTAGGGGATTTTCGTTCAAGTCGCCAGTACTGCACACTACCACAATTTGATTGGTTGAAAACCCAATGTCAACGGCAACGTAAAGGCGAAAGTTAAAAGTTGGTCATCTCGAAATTACCAAGTAAATCACTCATACCTTCGCTGCCTATTTTTAAATTTATAAACTTGACGCTGGCGTTGCTGTTCCCCGTTGACGTTGCCGTTGGAAGATAAATATACAGCAAAGGTATGCGTTGTTTATATCATCCGCTGACGTTGCCGTTGGAAGTTGGCACGCCGTTGGGATGACGTTCGAGATGGTAATTAAGGTGGTGTGCAGTGCTGTCAACTTGAAAGAAAATTCCCTGAAGTAGGCGGGACATTTTTGGGGTTGCCAGCACTAATTCCACGAAAATCAAATTTTTGTAGAGATAATGAGGCCCACTAATATTAAACCACCTAATCGCCTATTCACCGAAACCCTCATATTTTAAATACCTGCCATCATTGTAGCTTTCTGTCGGTGCTTGTGCATTGTTAAAGATAATAATTCTTGACGTTCAAACTAATGAGATTCCACGAAAATCAAATTTAAAATTTAAATCCCCAACCTTTCGTCTACAACCCACTTAAATATGGCAAATGTTGAACATACATGCTATTTTCTTTCGTTCGTTTTGGTGGTGTAGTCGTGTTCAAATTTGGTTTCTGTTTTATACATAGTTTCTATATTCTTCAGTGAATTTAATTTTAATTGCTGCGTAAACACACAAAAGATAGCCGAGAGAGCCTAATAAGTACTTTTGTCGCATCTTGGTTGGCTTCATTTCACTTAATAAAAAAACAAAACTCGTTCGAAAGTACGCAATGTTGACGTGAAAACGTAACCTCATAACTGGATTTGACAGCTACGGCCTATGGCAACAGCAACTGACAACGGAGTTTATAAATGACAATTTTCAGCTCTAGCAGCAACGTCAGCGGGAACAGCAACTGCAACGGCAACTTCAACGTCAACAGCAAGTTTATAAATCCCACTTTTACTTATCTTACAACGGCAACGTCACTAACCAAGTATGTAAATCACTACAAATTTTTCAAAAGATTACAAAACAATACGAATCAGATAATGTTTAATAAACTGAATTAACAGGTAGACATAACAAAATTTGTACAATAAATCAAATTATAAACTCTGTGTTGGCCATTTTCATACACCTATTTTTTGTGAATCAGTTTTTTTTCTGAGATAGTTCTCGTTTCTAATTCCAGTCTTCTTTACTTCATTTAAAATCTTCGTCACTTCTTCTAATTTCAGCAAAATATTTTTCGCATCTAAATCACTCTGGCGTCTCGAATTAAAATTCTTAATTTTTTCTAAACAATTTTGGCCTACATTCGTGGGAAAATTCTTTCTTCCCTCAAATTGATTTTTCTTGTTGATATAAAAGTCGACTTCGTATTTTTCAGTTTCGGTTTTGACAAATAAGAAAGAACAAGGTAAAAATTTCCGCACAATCTTATTTGCGTAAATCCTCCGTTCAACGAACGCCATAAAAGTTATAACATTTTTAAAAGCGTTAACGTCAGCATCTTGCTGTATAGTACCTATATCCGTGACAGCCACACCAGTCCAAAAATTCACGATAACCAAAGCCATAAAAATTGCAAAAATGAAAAATAGAATATAACCTCCAATATTCGATGATTTGAAATCAACTTCTCCTATGTTAAATTCGCCAGTTATCATGACATACGTAATAAAAATGGATTTTCCAATAGATGTGAAAAATTTGTGCTCTGTGTCTTTGAAAAGCACATGAAAAGCGGCAGCGAAAGCTATAATTATCAAAGTGAAAAATATCATCAGTAGAGTAAAACTCTCAAAAACTTTTTTTAGCATAACTGACCACTTGGCTATTTTTGGATGGTAGCCGACAGTCAATAGAAATAAAAGTGACATTTCTATAAAAGCAAATGCTCTACATTCAGCAGAGAAAAAACTTCCGAAAAGAGTCAACATTAGCAAAACTTCGCCACATTCATACATAGTTAGCATTCTTAAGTTGTTAAATATCCAACATCTATGTCCGAACACGATACCTAATTTTAAAACAAAATTCAAACTCGTAAAGAAAATACACACATTGAATTCAGGTTGAGAAGAATCAGATAAACAATAAAAACATACGCTTAAAGCGAGAAACAGCAAACCTTGTAGAAATAGAATCATCCAGTAGTACTTCTCAATTTTAGACCACTTCAAAACAATGAAAGTGTGTATTAGAGGGTGAGTTAACAATTGTTCCAAGTGCTTACGTTTTGAAATTCTCGAAACAATAGCGACTTCGTCATTTTCACTATTTCTGCTATTTATTAGTGATTTAAACCGAAAGAGCATTTTGTAATCATTAGCACTGAAATCCATCGCGTATCTGTCCAAGGCCACACATGAATCAAAATACTTTTCAAGATCTTGAGCATCAGTTATGTCGAGAGCAGTTTTTCCGTTTTTGTTTTCAACAAACAGCGTTTGTGGAGAACGTTTCAATAACTTTTGTATTGCAACTTTGTGGCGAAAACGCGTTGCATAATGCAGAGGAGTGTTTCCAGTTGTTTCGTAAGTAAAATTGGGGTCCAGCTTATCTGATTCTAAAAACAGGTCAAAAATTTTTAATTTCATGGGACAGGAGCGCCACTTAACAAAATTGTTAAACATTCTTTGTGTGATCTTGAGATTCTTATTTTTAAGAATTTCTTCAAAACTTCTTTCGTAATTATTCTTCGCTGCAACTTCCAGGGGGGTGATGTTGTAAACTTCCGTGACATTATTGATATTTGCACCGTTGTCTACTAAGAATTTGACGACTGGATGCATTTTTTCGGATTTTTTGCATGCAAATTGCAACAGAGTGTATTCACCGTTATCACAGTCTACAAAATTGCGTATATCTCTAAAACGGAGCAATTCCTGAGTTCGTTCTTTGCCTATCCAAGCAAATAATTGTAGTTTCTCTGTTTCTTTAGAATTATGTTGCTCTTTTATTTGAGATATCGAGTTTTTGTTTTCTTGTTGAAAAGTTTGAAGAATTTTTTTTGTTTTTTTCAGTAACAGTGGCTGATATACATCTTGTTCGAGCAACTTGGACACCAATTTTTTAAATTTCTCTAGAACCATTTCGTCATTTTTGTTATCTTCATATAATTCACAAACGATATCGAGAGCAGTTCGTCCATTAAAGTCGGGTTCATTAACGCTGATTCCAACCCCAAGTAAAATATTTACACACTCTAAAAAATTGACATCGAGAATGTTTCCATATTTTAGAGAGAAAACAAGAGCTGAATCACAATGTCGCGGCCGACAAAGATACATTATGTCACAGTCTCTAGCAATTTCCTTTAATTTTTCTAAATTACAAGTTGCAGCACCAAGGAACCACAAATCGATTTTATCATTGTCACATTCTTCGTAAAATTTACGCAGTACTTCCCTTAACACGTCCTTTTTGAAACAAAGTTTAGACTGCGGTGTGTCAAAACAAGTTTCATCTAATCTGTTCAAAATTTCTAACTCGCGCAACATTTCATGTTTTTCCTTCAGTGCTTTAATTTGTTTAAAGTTGATTTTGTTTTTACTACAAGCACTTGCTAATCTTCTAATAATTTTAAAAATATTAGGTCTTTCTCCGTCGATTTTCTTATAATTTTCTGTAAAAGTAGTTACGCCAATCTTCAATTAAAATAATTTTTCAAAAACACCAAAGAATGTACATACCTTGCTTCTGATCCATATTTATGAGTGCTGATTCTTCGCACATTTTTACTAAAAACTGCACTGTGTTACTTCTGGGGAGAAATTTAGAAATTGTTGACTGTTGTTTCTGCAGCACGTTTTCCTGAGTCACACTGATAGCACGCTTTGCAAACCACAAAGTGATAAGTGATGTCGTATCAATGGTATTCTATTTATAGCAGATGGTTATTCCAAATTAAATATGTACATTTGGATTAAGAATTCGCATTTTAAATAAAAAAAATTGCGTAATTTTTATATTTAAAATTAAAATATGAATGAAAATTCGACCACCAGTAAATCATATTGATAACATATGTATGATAACATTGATAACGATTCAGTTCCAATTCGATAAAAAATCGATGCACCACATACATATCAAAGGTTATTTTAATACCCCGTAGTCCCAAAAAACAACAAAAGTTACTTCCCTGCTTTATCAGCAACATTTTTATCATTTACATGCAGACTTGATAAAATTTTCTCCATTTTCTCATGAAAAGTTGTCAGGTTAGCGTAACTGCTGGCGAGGAAATGTAATTATGTAATTAAACAGAATATAACAGATTTAAGATTCTTTACCTAAAAGAATAAATTTACTTGCGAAATGAGGAGTTTTAAATAAAACCTCCATCAATAACTATCAACTTTAAATATAGAACATGCTTAACCAAAAAGAAAGAGAATGAAAAACAGAATAAGACGAAGTAACAAAATACAGGGTGTTCTATTTGTAAAACCTAAAATGTCGATTTTTGAAAATTGTTATAATTTGTTTTTTATAAATACTTTGTATATTAAAACTCAATTCTATTTATACATAAAGCGCGTATCTCTCCACAAAATATTGAACAGATTTTAAAAATAACCTTACTGAGATTTTTTGTGAACTTGAAAATATTTTTGGTCATCAAAAAATTGTACTATATTGTACAACTTTTTTTTATTTGTAAAAACTAATGAGATATCGAGAAGCGCGGGCTTAGTAACTCACTAAAGGTCTAGTAAACCCATAACTTGATATCAAATCTTCTTCCACTCCCTTCTATCAACAGTTTTTTTTTCTTCAGTTTCGGAAACCTAACGTTTCTATATCTTCCTCTACTTGTGTTTTTCACTTAACCCTACGTTTTCTTCCTACTATTTCATTCTCCAGTATACGTCTGGGTATCGGGTGACTCAAAAAAATTAATGAATGCGTGAATTTATTTTATTGAGTTAATCAAGAACTACAAAACCGAATGCTTTGAAATCTTGCAGATGTTTTAAGCATAATAAATGTTTAGTCAAAATATATTTGCTTATCCCCTCCAAAAACTTGATGACGTCAGCTCGAAAGTTTGCCCAGTAAATCCTATCTAATCTGTACACAATATGATGAGTCTGTAGTTGTGATTTATCACTGCATTCATATTTTTTGGATTTGCATATACAGGGTGACCCAAAAAATTAATGAATGCGTAAATGTATTTTATTGATTTAATCAGGAACTACAGAACCAAATGCTTTGAAATTTTGCAGATGTTTTAAGGTTATAAAGAGCATAATAAATGTTTAGTCAAAATATATTTCCTTATCCCCTCCAAAACATTAATGATGTCAGCTCGAAATGCCGAATAAATCCTATCTAAACTGTGCAAAATATGATGAGTCGGTACTTGTGATTTATCACTCCATTCATATTTTTTAGATTTCCATATACAGGTTGACTCAAAAAAATTAATGAATGCGTCAATGTATTTTATTGATTAAATCAGAAACTACAAAACTAAATGCTTTGAAATCTTGGAGATATTTTAAAGTTATGATATGCATGTAAATCTTTCATCAAAATATATTTGCTCATCCCCCACTAAGAATTGATGACGTCACCGCAAAATTTTGCTGAATAAATCCTATCTAACATGTGCAAGATATGATGAGTCTGTACTTGTGATTTATCATTCCATTCATATTTTTTTAATTCGCATATACAGGGTGACTCAACAAATTTAATGAATGCGTGAATTTATTTTATTGATTTGATCAGGAACTACAAAACGAAATGATTTGAAATCCTGAAGATGTTTTAAAGTTATCATAGGCATATTAAATTTTTAGTCAAAATGTATTTGCTCATCTCCCCTAAAAAATTGATGACGTCATCTCAAAAATAAATAAACACTTTATTCCCAACAGGCTAATATACACCCAATTACAGGGAACGATGTAATTAAAACTGGAACATTACTTACATGATGTTGTAACTGAAAAATTTAATTAAACTAAATAATCATTTAATTAATAGCATAAACTTCCAATATACAATTCTGCAACATTTTAAAAGAATTAATATTTATGTCATAAACTCCCGCTATCCCATTACATAAGTCACACATTAAATTAACTGGAGATTTGCGTAAAACATTGGTTCTATTCGCTGAACAATAAAATATAGTACGCTGTTGGGAGTTGATTCTTGGTACTGTAAATTTGAGTTTAATAAGCAACTGGGGCACATCAACTTTATTATTCAGCATATTGAACAAAATCTTGACGACAGTAACACTTCGTCTTGTTTTTAACGAAACAAAATTAAATCTAGTTAACAAATCTAAATGACTAAATCCTCTTTCCGGATAGAATCTGTCTAAACCGAAACATAAAAATTTGAGGAATTTGCGCTGTACTAACTCTAAATTATTAATATGGACATCATATATTGGATACCATATAAGAGCTCCGTATTCTAAGCGTGATCTTACCAAAGTAAAATATAGCTGCATAAAGTATGAACGTTACAAAAATCGCTACAATTTCTATAAACAAAACCGTATATCTTATAGACTTGTGAAATATTAGTCGTTATATGTTCAAAAAAAGTTATTCTTCTATTATTTTTGTTTTTTTGAATATGGATATTAGAGAGATAGAAGTTACAAGGTGTGACAGGTGTTCTCATTATTATTAATCATTTCGCCATTTTTGATCTTCGTTTGCATGTAAGTTGTATCACTTTTTACTCATTTGTGTATGATGCTTCTTTTGGCGTAACAGTCAATTAGTGAGCTGTTAACAGACATACATAACTCCTAATTTTATTTTCTGAATTTTGCTTTGTTTACATACGATAGTTTCTTTATTGTCCACGTTCCAGTGAGCGCCACAGTTAGTTCGAGTGTGATGTGCTGTGAGGGCGCCGCTGTGGGATAGATTTTGTGGTTTTGTTTTGTTGACGTTTCAATAGAAATTGTTGCACTAGTTTTGTAAATTAATACCTACTCTTAAACCTCTTTTTTCTTTTCTTTTAGTTATTATTATTAAAAGTTGTATCCCGGTTTCTTATTTTCTCCAATATGGGCGTTGTTTGTTTATTTTGTGAGGGTGCCGTAACACCTACAACTCCATCCCTAAAATGTGGGTCATGCAAAAAGTACGGGCACATTAGATGTTTGAAATTAAACGAATCTGAGATTGCTGAAATAATTAGCAATCAATCACCATGGTTATGCCCTAAATGTTCTCCAACTTGCACTTCAGTTATAACTGATAAAATCGAGGAAATCATGAAAAAACAGTTAAGTATTTTGCAACAAGATCTTAAACAATATATTGACAATTCTTTAAAAAGTATTAATGATAGACTTATAACTGTGGAAAACAAGGTAAGCTTAATTCAGGAGGAGTGGGCTGCATTTAAAACATCACATCCGGTATCAAATATTAATCACTGTGATCTTGATTTCAACTCAATAGCAGCGGAGATTGAAGACCGTAAATTGCGTAGTTCAAATGTTTTATTATATAATGTACCAGAATCAATGGCGTCCTCTGTTGCTCAAAAAATTGAGGATGATCTGCAACAGGTCTCCACGATCTTGTCTCCTCTAGGATCATTCCCAAATCCTAAAAAAGTTGTTCGCATTGGTTCGTTTAGACCTAACAGTGCCAGACCTTTAAAGATTGTTTGTGAATCCGAAATCGATGCTAAAAATATTCTTAGATCAAACAAGGCTAATAGTAATCGTAACAATCATTTTCGTCCTGATTTAACGAGATTTCAACGCGATTTTAACAACAATGTACGAGATGAGTTTAAGAAAAGGTTGTCTAATGGTGAAGCGGATATAGGTCTTCAATATAAAAATAATCAAGCCTTCATCGTTAAAAAAGGCACTTCCCGAACCACTTTTCCAAAAAAGTAATAAATTTCTATTACCAGAACGTTGGCGGTCTTAGGTCTAAGATAAAGGATTTTTCTTCGAAAGTTAATTTGTCAGTCTATGACGTTATCATTATTTCAGAATCGTGGTTATGTAGTAGTATTGGTAATAACGAGTTGTGTTTAAATAATTACAACATCTTTCGTGCGGATCGCAATGTTCATTTTACAGGTAAATTACGTGGTGGTGGGGTGTTGATTGCCATTAACAAATTTTTTAAATCTCAAATTATACTATCCGGGCATTCTGTTGAAAGTATTTTTGTTCGTTTAACTTATAACGATATAGATTTGATTGTGGGTGGGGTATATATTCCTCCTGCATCACCACTTTCCATTTATGAGGAATATTGCAGTGATCTGGAGTCAATCTTTGATCGTTTCCCCAATTCATCCTACATAATCGCCGGAGATTTTAATCTCCCCGATCTTATCTGGAACAGAGATGATGTTAGCTGTTCTTCAGTTAGTCAGCAGGAATATTGCGATGCTATAAGCTCAACTTCTGCGCTTTTGAACCTTAAACAAATTAACATGATTCCTAACAGTCGAAACGTTTTTTTGGATCTAATATTTTCAAATGTGGTTGATATACAAGTTTCGCCTGCGCTAGATCCTATATTTGTACAAAGCATTCATCATACTCCTTGTTCATGGCAGATGTCCACCAGTGTTACACCATCATTACGCTTCGAATATTGTATTTATGATTTTGCAAAGGGCGATTATAACCTCTTGAATGGATATTTTGCTTCAATTTGTTGGGATTTTTTATGGACTAGTAGTAATCTTGATGAGAAAGTGTCAATCTTCTACGACATTCTATTTGTTGGTTTTGAAAAATATATCCCATATAAAACGGTAAAGCATAATGCCCAGAATTATCTTATTTGGTTTAATAAGG